CTTCCTTCAGCAAGTCCACACCTAAAGGTTCTATGACCTCTTCCAAACAGTGCCACCAACTGGGATCAAGTGATCCAATACTTGAGCCATTGGGGACATTTCTCACTTGCTACCATATCTACCTAGTGTTATTAGTTGTTTCAACTTGGTTATGAATAAATTCTGCCTTTCTGATCCCTAATAGGCTAAATTACATGAAAAAAATTAAAAAGGGCTAAAGAAAATTTGTATAGTGAGCAGTATCGTAGATCTGTTTGTCAAATTTTGTTCTGTATGCTTGCTTGATGTTTCACATTTTGTTTTACCATAGAATAATATTTGCTTTAGATTTTGAAATTTAAATTTCAAAATTTGTTTATATACTATAATTTTTGTTTCATCAGGCAAAAATCTCTTTGCTAATGGTTAGGACTGTTCTCTGTGAAAGCAACCCTTTTGTTGGACTTTGTATCAAGACCTGTATTACTTGAAATGCAACTACACAGCCACTGTTCCAAAAGCTAAGACTCGGAAGGAGAGTGCCAAACTTAGTAGAGCTTGTGAGGTGGCTGTTTTCTTCTCTGGCCTCTAGGATTGGCTATTTGCCACATATGGGATACTGTCTCTAGGAGTCAGTATGAATCAACTTTTGTTGTTGTTGTTGTTTTTTTTTTTTTTTCTCTCTCTAATGAATGGAAGAAAATTAAGGCCTGTGTTCTCAGGCTATTCCTAAGGTCTGAAATGGTATATGCATATAATTTAAACAAGTAAAAGAGTAAGATACATCCTCATTTCTCCCTTTGTGAATGCAACTATTTGTTGGGTTTTTGTTGTTGTAGTTATAATTTCTCTTTTGGTAGTAACATTCCTATTTCTAAATAATAAACATATAGTACTCCATATATATATTATAGAGGGATCCTTATTGGTGTCCCACTAGAAAAGATGAGGATTTGGCTCTCTGTCCTTCTTACCATTACACACACATGTGCTATCCCATCCCTCACTCTCTCCTTATATTTGTAATTTTGCTCAGATTGGTATTCAACATTCACATTGTTATGACTATAAATATTAATTACAGCTGAGGCTGAGCCAGATGGTAAGTTATGATTACTTTTCCATCTGTATGTGATCTGATTTTTCTGGTTAAATTGATTGCTTTTTTTTTTAAATTTTAAGTTAAAGTTTTTTTTTTGTTTTTTTTTTTTTTTTCTTTTTTTTTGAGACAGGGTCTCCCTGTAGCCCCAGCTGGCCTGGAACTCACTATGTAGGCCAGGCTAGCCTCGAACTCACAGAGATCTAACTGCCTCTGCCTCCCAGGTGCTGGGATTAAAGGCATGCACCACCATGCCCGGCAATTGATTCCTTTTTATTTGTTAGGTTTTCTGTGCAGTTAAGAAATTTTCATCTCTATTAGAGAATTGTTTGCTTGTTTTGAGAAAGGGTCTTTCTTTGTAATCCAGGCTGTCCTGGAACTTACTATGTAGCTGAGGCTGGTCTTAAAATTGTAGCAATCCTTCTGCCTTAGCTCCCTGCCCCCCCCCCCCAAGTGCTGGGGTTCTAGACATGATCCACTACACCTAGCTCCATTAGAGAAGTTTAAGTCTTGATCAATGATTCAGTGCGAATCTTTGTTAATAACATTCAGTAGCCATAGGTGGGGTGTGGTGGTGACCACACCAAAAAAACTCCAACATTTAATAGGTATAAAAGAATGAATAGTGTGTCTAGTTGTGTATAGAAAATACATTATGAAATTTTGTATTTTGAATATTTATATACATAGATAGTATGCACATATACAAGTATACTTTTAAACATACACGTATAAGTACATATATTTTATTTTATTTTATTTTTTGGTCTTTTTGAAGCAGGGTCTCCCTGTAAGTCCCGGCTGTCCTGGAACTCACTGTGTAGACCAGGCTGGCCTTGAACTCACAGAGATCCGCCTGCCTCTGCCTCCCAAATGCTGGGACTACAGGCCTGTGCCACCATGCCTGGCTAGTACGTATATTTTATATATAATGATCACCATTATTGCCCAGTAGAAGTGTGCTTATTTATTGGTTCATTTTAGTTATCACTTAATTTTGTATAGTAATAACTATTTTCTATGTTTTTATTTAGTGCTTATGAATGTTAACTTTGGTCCTGTTACTAGTTATATTTTTGTGGCTGCTCTAACAAATTGCCTCAAACTTTTTTTGCTGTTTTGTTTTTGAGGCATTGTCTCACTAAGTAGCCTAGATCAGTTTTGGACTCACTGTATAACCCAGACTGACCCTGTACTTAATGCTCTTTCTGCCTCAGCATCCCATGTTGTAGGATTATAGTAGGTATGTCCCATTATGCCCAGTTTAAACCAACTTAAATGGCTTAGAGTGTCAGAAATATTTGCTCAGAGTTTTAGAGCCTAGAAATCTAAAATAGTTTCTTGGAACCCAAATCAAGATATCAGTAAGGTTATGCTCCCTTTCCAGGTTTTAGGAGAAAGCATGTCCCTGGACTTTGCCAGCTTTTGGCACACTGTCTCCTTTTCTCTGCTGAACCCCTCTGGATATGCCAATCTGGATAATCCAAGCTGTCTCCATATCTCAGTCTCCTTAATTATGTCTGCAATGGCTCTTTTGCCTTATAAAGTAACATAATTCCAGGGATTGTATATTTGGTTGGCCAGTATTCAGACTGCAGTAGATCTCTTAGCTTGTCATTGGAAAGGCTTTTTTTAGGGCTGAGGTCTGGTGAGGAGTTAGGATAGCAAAAGAGAAACAGAACAAACATAATGCTTATTCTGGTTGTTAGGCCACTTGAAATAACCTACTTAAGGGACTGTAATATATTAGACTGATAAAAGTTAGGATTTAATGGGGAGTGAAGATTCTGAAGCCCTGATACAAATCTGGGGCTTTTGAATCTTTGGTCACATAGGTGTGGGGCAGTGATACCTACCATACCTGACAGTGAATAAAAGCAACACATGGCTCTACATTGTTTTTGTAACTCCAACTGTACAATATATCTTTTTGCATTGTAAATAACTTTGCATCTGATCAAGTCTAGAAGTCTTTCTCTTGGTAGAACAGAGAGTTTCAAACTAAATGTGATTTAAAGGCAAGAAGTAAGCCGAGAAGACACACTGTGGGAAAAATAAAGGTGGTAGTGAGAGAATGCTGTTTTTAAAACCACTAGTTCATTTTTATATTGAAAATTACAAAGTATTTGTTACTTTTATCTATGTCATATTCATTAGTTTCCTTCAAGTAAGACTTGATACCATTAATATTTCAATGCATGAATATTCTGAGCCTTGCCATAATTTCTCTAAGTTGTGTGGAAATATACTTGTCCTCCACCTGACACAATGCTTATTCTAAAAGAAAAAAGATACTTAGTTCATTTCTTTTTCCCTAAATGGGCATTCTTTGCAGATTTGAGAAAGGTAAAACGGATTGTGTTCCTTGAAGAAAAGGAAGAGCTTTTATACTAAAATTACTAAAGGTAAAGAATGACTATAAAGCTACCATGTTGATAGTCACTTGTCAGTTGCTACTTAAAATAACTGAAACAAGGGCTGGAGAGATGGCTCAGCGGTTAAGAACGCTGTTCTTGCAGAAGACCTGGGTTTGAATCCCAGCATCCATATGGCAGCTAACAACTGTCTGTAACTCCAGTTCCAGGGATCCAGCCGCCTCTTCTGTCTTCCACCGGCATTGCACAACACAGGTGCACTTACATGCGGGCAATACACAAATACACATAAAATAAAAATAATAAAATATTTTTAAAAAAATAACTGAAACAAATTAGTTCTTTTAAAATATTTGTGTTCTAAGTTAACTTAGTGTGACCATTACCTTTAATTGTCAACTTGACACAACTTGACACACCTGGGAAGAAAATCTCAATGAGGGATTGTCTACGTTGGGTTGGCCTTGACATGCCTATGGGGGGATTGTCTTCATTGATGTGGGAAGACCCAGCCTGCTGTGGACATCACCATTCCCTAGACAAGAAGTCTTGAACTGCGAGAAGAGTGGAGATACCAAGCTGAACACCAGCAAGGAATCTAGTGAGAGTGGACACATTCATTTCTCTGTGCTCTTGACTGTGGGTGTGATATGACTAGCTGTTTGAAGTTCCTGCCTTGACTTCCCAAGAGTGATGGACTGTAACCTGAAATTGTATGCTGAAATAAAACCTTTTCTCCCCTAAATTGCTTTTTCAGGGTATTTTATCACAGCAACAGAAATGAAACTAGGACACTTAAGAAAGCTTCCTGGAGGAAAAGGAGATTTGAGAAAAGACTAATGTTTTCAAATAATGAGGGTAGAGAAAGGATTCATATAAATAAGAAAAAGATATTTTTAGGGGAACTAGTTATAGAGTCTACTAGCAAGGAGTAATGAAAGCCATTAGGCATGCAAGGACCAGTTAGAGAAACAACTCTTTCCTGACAAAAAAAAAGGTGAATAGTAGGTAAGGAATGGGCAGTAGTTCGGTAGTTTCCAAGTATGTTCTGTATATATAACATACATTATTTTGAAATATATTTGAGGGGCTGGAGAGATGGCTTAGCAGTTAAGAGCAGTGGCTGCTCTTGCAGAGGACCTGGGTTTGATTCCCAGCAGCCACATGGCAGCTAACAACTATTTGCAACCCCAGTTCCAGGGGATCCAACACCCTCTTCTGACCTCTGCTGGTATTACAGGACACAGATATATATGCAGGCAATACAGTTATACATATAAAATAAAAATAAATATTATAAAATATATATATTTGAGTAATAGCCCTTATCAAGTTATAAAGTTTTCAAGCTTTTTATCTTAGAATAATGACAATAGTAATGTAAAACACTATCAGCAGATTAACGTCTCCTTTGCAAGTAATCCTCTTGTCCTAAGTCTGGCATTTTTTAATAATAGGGACCTGTTTTCCTGTTGGAACACTTAGTGCATTTTGGTATTAAGACTTCAACCTTTTTTTGTTTTCTTTTCTCTATCTTTCCCTGGCAGCTTAGTCAAACTATGAAACAGGCACGTCACCAGCTGGCATCCTTTAAAACTGTGAGTGAAGAAAAGGCATCAGTGTTTCTAAATGGTAGAAGGAAAAGCTCTCCTACTCAAGAGGTAAATTAATTTCCAATATGCTGCTTTTAAAAATACAAGTAGAAAGTATAGATAGACATTTATTTGTGTATCAGCATACTTTAGAAATGCAGAATAGGGGCTGGAGAGATGGCTCAGCGCTTAAGAGCACTGGCTGCTCTTGCAGAGGACCCGGGTTTGAGTCCCAGCACCCACATGGTAGCCTAACAATCATCTGTAACTCCTGTTCCAGGAGAATGCATTGCCCCCTTCTCATCTCTGTGGACTTTGCACAACACAAATGCACTTATGTACATGCAGGCAGTATACTCATACACATAAAAAAATAATAAATATTAAAAAATTAAATGCAAAATAATTGGAAATAACTTTAAGTATCCCTAAGTAGGGAGTGTTTGAGTAAATGAAGATGTATCCATATACAGCCAGTCTAAAAAAAAAAATCATGTTTTCAAGTAAAAGCTGAAGACAAAGGAAAGTAGGATATAAATTTAAGTGAAAAAGTGATATACAAAATTACATATTCTGTAATCTCAATTTCAAATATATATTATTTGGGGCTGGAAAGATGGCTCAGTGGTTAAGAATACTGGTTGTTCTTGTAGAAGACCCAGGTTCAAATCCTAGCACCCACATGACAGCTAACAACTGTAACTCCAGTCCCAGGGGATCCAACAGCCTCTTCTGACCTCTGTGGGCATTGCATGACATGGGTGCACTTACGTACATGCAGGCAATACATGCATACATATAAAATAAAAATAAATAATTTTAAAATATATATATTATTTAACAAATATTAATATTATGTTGTGAAAATAAAGACAGATTCCTTAAGGACTCTTTACTAGCAGCAAAGTATATAATAAATAAGCAAATAAATAATGTACAATTTCAAGTGAGAAGTGAAATACAGAAAAAGATGGGGAGGTAATGCTCTGTGCATAGACAAAAGTTTGGACAGAAATGTCACAAGAAGTTAATACTGGTCCTTTCTCCTTTTCCCCCTTTCTCTCTCCCTCCCTCTCTTTTTCTTTCTCCTCCTCCCTCCCTCTCATTTGCTGAGAATCAATTCCAGGGCATCACACATTTTTGCGTAGTTTTAATTTTCTTCTGTCTTTATTTGTTTAAATTTGCATAATGTATATATTTCACTTTCTAGTAAATAATACTATATTTAATAAAAGAATTTAAAATTCTTTTAATTCTGAGCATAAATTTGGAGTGAATAATTAGAATCTAAATGTGGAAAGGTATATTTAAAACAGCTGGGCATGGTGGTGTACACCTTTAGTCCCAGCATTTGAGAGGCAGAGGCAGGCAGGTCTCTGTGAGATCCAGGCCAGCCTGGTCTACATGACAAGTGCGAGGCCATCTGGGACTACAAGGAGACCCTGTCTCACAAAGACCAGAAAAAAAGAAAGAAAAAGAAAAAAAATACATTTAACCATACTTACAAATGTTTTAGTGCCTTGCTTATATCAGAGTTTTTAACTACTGATGTTCAATTCTTGTGTTTTCATGTGCCTACTCAATTTCAACATTACTTTCAAGTTTTAATAGGCATCATTGGTAAAATAGACAATTGGGCTTTTTTAGTATGTTTTTGCCATCATTTGTCTCCTATTTTCCCAGTTTCTGTTCCTACTTGGCATATTCTTTTACATTCTTATGAATCATGCACTTGGGTGTTTCTTAACTATAGGAATACATTCAGGGAAATGTCTTGCTAGTTGATTTCCTCATTGCATAATGTCACAGTGAACATACACAAACTAAGGGCTACACTATCATTAGATGGCAGTCTTACAGGACTACCGACACGTGTTTTTTTTTTCTTTCTTTTTTTTTTCAGCTTCTCTACTCTGCCATCAAAGCCGTCTGTCTCTGTATGTTTGTAGTTGGTTGGATTCTAAACTATGAATGTTTCCTTCATTAATCATTTAAAAATTTCTGAATGAAATCTAAAAAACAAATAGATGCAATCCTATGGTTCCCTTTTTGTAGCATCCTGTTGGGACTCTTGAAGTAGTTTTTTCTTTTAGTATCCTGATTTGGGCAATTAGAGTTACTCTCAGGTACTACTAGAAAGGTGATTGGACACTTTCTAATAAACCAGGACAAAAGTGTTGTTAGTTTCTAGAGACTGATATTTTACATTGTTTGGGATATGCTCAGACCTTCAATTGGTATTTTTCCACAAAGAGTACTGTGTTCTGACCTAACTAAAATAATTAATCCAGTAGAAGAGAGGATTAATTCTATGATAACATCCTTGTAGAAACCAGTTTCATACGTCAGAGGTGCCACGTGAGTCTAATTTATTCTTGTTATGATGATAATAGTGTATTCTATCCTGCCACTTGTTTCCAGAAAACACAATGTGGTTTTTTTTTCAAATAAAATAATAGAAACAGATCTATTCCATGTAATTGGGAATGATCTAAGAAATTAGTGACATTTTTCTTGCACTTAATGCTTTTAATATCCGAAAAGTGCTTTTTCTTCTTCATTGTATGAGGTAGAAATCAATCAGAAAGAACAACATTGGAATCCAGCTGAGCCCTGCTTTCATTTTCTTGTTTGACTTTAGTAACATTGCATTCCACCTCGATGTTACTGACATTTCAAATTTGGAGACAGAAGTAGAATAGGTAGTTGCTTGGCTCTTGTCAGGTTGTCAAGACTCAAGTGAATAGTTTTCTGAAATTGTTAGTGACTGGAATGATGGCAGATTGTCATTTCTAAGGTTTATATAGTCTCCCACTGTATTTTATTCCATATGTTGACATGTGATTTGTTTGTCTGTTTGAAGTAAAAAATACTAATTTCTTTATACTAATTTCTTTATATAGTAGTCTATATAAGACTACTGTAGCTATTAAAATTATTCCAGATCTTTCACAGATTCAGTGAGTATCATGAAGATACTTGCTTTCTCTAGACTGTTTGTTTTTCCTTCTCAGAAAGCACCTCCAAGGAAACCAACATGTGTCAACATAAATAAAGAAACAAGAGAAGAATCCCCCCTAAAGATCCAGGAAGACCCTTTAAATACTGTGCATTACCGGAACTTTATGGAAAATCAAGTAAGGAACTATAGGTATACATGCTTATTACCCATTTGTACCTCTCGTGAAGGAAACATTTATTCATATTTTTAAGTTTAGTCATCTTTTATTGTTAAATTTTATTTATTTTACGTGCATGTGTGTATTGCCTGCATGTAGGTAAGTACACCTGTGTTGTGCAATGCCTGCAGAGGTCAGAAGAGGCTGTCGGATCCCCTGGGATTGGAGTTACGGACAGTTGTTAGCTGCCATGTGGGTGCTGGGATTTGAACCTGGGTCTTCTGCAAAAACAACCAGTGTTAACTGCTGAGCCATCTCTCCAGCCCCAAGTTAAATCATCTTTTTGTCTTAAAGGTTTAAGTGTTCCTTATATGGGTACTGTAGAGACAGCTCAGCAGTTAAGAGCATGTACTGTTCTTCCAAAGGACATGAGTTTGGTTCCCAGCACCGATGTTGGGCAACTCGCAACTGCCTGTAATTCCGCCTCCAGGGAATCTGATACCCTCTTCTGTCCTTTGCAGGTGCCTACACTGACATGCACATTCCCACACATGGACATACATACACATAATTTTAAAAAATGGTCCTTATGTGTGTTTCTCTCATTTTGTGGATTTTTCATTTCATGTTATTAGGGCATCATTTACAGCTTACAAATTTTAATTTTAGTATACTCTTATTTTTTTCTTTCTTGCTTATACTTTAGTGTTGTATCTACTAACCACTGATTTAACCTATATTTACTCCTACGTGCTCTAAGAATATTATAATTTTAGCTCTTACTTTGAGGACTATCCATTTTGAGTTCATTTTTATGTATGATGTGAAGAAGTGGTCCTGCTTCATTCTTTCCCAGTTGATACCCCGTTGTCTCAACAACCATTTGTTGAGATTATTCCTTTCTCATTGCCTGTCTTGGCATTCTTGTCAGAAGTCAGTTCACTATAATGTGAAGGTTTGTTTATGACCCCTTCATTCTGTTCTATTCTCTATGTCTGTATGCCAGTATCGTAGTGTCCTGATCACTATATCTTTGTGGTAAGTTTTGAAATTGCGGGAAGAATGAAGACTCCAAATTTGTTCCTTTCCAAGAATGTTTTACTATGATGGGTCTTTTGCCTTTTTATGTATATTTTATGATGTTGCTTGTTGTTTTTTTTTTTAATATTTATTATTTTTATGTGCATGCGTGTATTGCCTGCATGTAGGTAAGTGCACCCGTGTGTTCAGTGCCTGCCGAGGACAGAAGAGGCTGTTGAATACCCCGGAACTGGAGTTAAGGACAGTTGTTAACTGCCATGTGGGTGGTGGGATTCGAACCCAGGTCTTCTGCGAGAACGGCCAGTGTTCTTAACCGCTGAGCCATCTCTCCAGCCCATTTTCTTTTTTTTGTAAGCCAACTGGCATTTTGATTTCTGAATCTTTAGATCAATTTGGAAAATACAGCCAACTCTGTGTGTGTGTGGGTGGGGGGGGGTTAATATGATGTGACTGTATTGCCCAAACTAGTCTCAAAGTCCTGGGCTCATGCTTCTACCTCCCAAGTGCTGGGACCACAGGTTATCCACAACATCCAGCAGTATTGCCAAAGAACAATACTGTCTCCCAATCCATGAGCATGGCATATCTTTTCATGTATTTAGATCTTTAATTTCTTTTAATAATATATTTTTCAGTGCATAGTCTTTACTGTAAACAGTTAATGCTGTTTGAATATATTGTTCTGCTGGAATTATATCAGCAGTATCCTGAAGTGTAGGGTTTTATTGCAAACACATTGTTTCTACTTGTAACAGTGGCATTTAGTGGTTTTTTTTGTTTGTTTTTTTAATTGTTTGTTTTTTCCTTAGAACCTTGGCTATGAGAAAATTTCATCTGTTATGACAGATGATAAGAGAAGAGAAGATTTGTTTGTACAGTACCAGCAGGATCTCCTTTCTGAAGACAAAGATAAGCCTTTCAGTAAAATTCAGGTAAAGCAATGAAAGTAAACTAATAGCTTGATGGTACAGATCTAATCTTAGCTACTTGGGAGACTGAGAGGAGGATCACAAGTTCAAGGCCTGTGTTGGCTACAGAGTGAGTTCAAGGCAGTCTGGGCAATTTTGTGAGAACTTTTCTAAAAGAAGAAGAGGATTGGGGGATTGTAGCACAGTGGTAGAGTATTTGACTAGCATGCATGAAGGCTTTGGTTCAATCACTAGTGATGCAAAAAAGTGAAAAAAAAATATTTGGATTAGGGATTTATGGTGTTGTACTGTGTTAATACTGGTGTAGGATTGTAAATTAAGGTTTTTTTTGTTTTTTTTTTTAAGTTGAGCAAAGATGGGGCTAGAAAGATGGCTCAGCAGTTGAGAGTGCTGACTGCTTCTGCAGAGGACCCAGATTTGATTTCCAGCACCCACATGGCAGCTAACAACCATCTATAACTTCAGTTCTAAGTGATCCGACTTCCTCCACAGGCATTGCACAACATGAGTGCACTTACCTACATGCAGGCAATACACTCATACACATAAAATAAAAGTAATAAAATAGGGGCTGGTTAGAACACTGGTTGTTCCTTGCAGAAGACCTGGGTTTGAATCCCAGCTCCCACATGGCAGCTAACAACTGTCTGTAACTCCAGGCCCAGGGGATCTGACAGCCTCTTCTGACCTCCATGGGCATTACACAATATGGGTGCACTTACCTACATGCAGGCAATACATGTACACATTAAAAAAAATGTTTTATATGAAGGACACAGAAATTCAATTAAAAATATACATTTGGTCTTTTTGAGACAGGGTCTCCCTGTAGCCCCAGCTGTCCTGGAACTCACTATGTAGACCAGGCTGGCCTTGAACTCACAGAGATCCCCGTCTCTGCCTCCCAAGTGCTGGGATTAAAGGCGTGCGCCACCATGCCCAGCCAATTTTAAGACTATTCTATGAGTCTTGTGGAAAATCTAGATTTTTGCCTACTACGTAATAGTCTATATTTGTTATTTATATTCCCTTTTAGAAAGTCAAATTCAAAAATCCATTATTTGTTGTGATAAAAGAAGAGGAACAAAAGCAATTAAATCTTCAGCGCATTCAGGCTATTTTGCCAGGTGCTGAGGATTATCTTCTAGAAGTTCAAGGTGATCTGCCAGGACCCCAGAGTGATGTGATAGATGTCCAGAATGTGGAATTCAAAGCCTCTATTGAACCTAAATCTCCAGGTGTTGAGCCAGACTCTCAGGTTCTAGAGGTTCAGACTGTTGAGCCTGAAGGCCTGGCTAGTAAGACTCAGGACATTTCATTAAGAACCCAGGCTAGTGAACTAGATGGACATATTCAGTTGGAAGCCCAGGATTTGCTACCCTCAAACCATTTTCTGTCCAGAGACCAGGATTTTCTAGCCAAATGTCAGGACCAGGACTCTTTACCCAAAGACCATTGTATTCTCCGTACATACTGGACTAGTCTACCTAAATATCAGGAACTGACTTTTGTACCTGTAGACCAGGAATTTCCACCTAGAAACCAACCTGTCTTTCCCAGGGAACAGAGTAATCTACTCAAATGTCAGAACCAGGATTTCCTACCTAAAGATCAGAATCTTCTACTGAAAGACTATTGTGCCTTTCCACAAAACCAGATTATTTTATTCAAATACCAAGACCAAGATTTTCTACCTAAAGACCAGAATTTTCTGCCTAAACACCAGTGTATTCTACCTATATATGAGGACCAGGATTTTCTACTTGAAGAAGAGGATTTTCTAACAGGAGATCAGCATCTTCTTTCCAAAGACCAGACTGTTTTCCCTAAATGTCAACATCAGTATATTCTTTCCAAAGACCAGAATAATTTATTCAAATGTAAGGAGCACTATCTCCCACCTCAAAATCAGGTAAAATAGAGTGAGCAGGGGATATAATGACAAGAAATAAGCTACTTTGGGCCTGGAGTAGGACTTGCAAGGATTCTGCTGCAGCTGATTTAGAGCTCCATAGTTGGAAACTGCAGTTTCCTGATTGATTTCTCAAAATTCCAAGGTTCCCAAGAAATGTTAAAGTGATGTCATCAGTATATTTGCCCTATCTGAGAGATTTGCATTTTTAAAACATCTTCTTTAGGATACATATTTTGGCAGTTACCTACTTTGACAGCTGAAAGTTGGGGAGAGGTGTGGCCCACAAGCACTCAGCAGTGTCTTTCAGCACGAGTTCCAAGCCAGCTGTTTGACAGAGAACACCTAGAGCAAAAAGAAGGGGATCCACAGAGATTACTTAGGGTTGTTGTTGGGATTTTGTGGAATGGAATAGTTTTTTATTTTATTCTGTAATATGTCCAGTTATACTCTGACCTTAGTTTAATTCCTAAAATTCTTACCAAAACCTGTAGTCTAAGCTAATCTGTTATTCTTAACTAAGAAATTGATACTTTGTGTTTGATCTTTTTAAGAACACAAGTATGAAGCAGCCAGCATCAATTTTGAGATGTGAACAAGGGAGAAAGGACCTGCCTCTGGATGCTCATCAGGATTTTCTGTGCTGTCACCATCATCAGGTTCTTATCAGGAGTAAGGCAGAGCAGAGAAAGGAAAGATCAGCAGAAACTGAAGGACTTCAGGTTTAGTTTGGAACTTACAAAGATTCTTAGCTACACTTCAGAACTGACAGAGAGCATGCTTTTCTGTTTTATTCCTTAATATTTCATATTATTCTGCATTTTAAAAATTACTCTTCTTTTTACCAAAGTTTAGAATATTATTGCTATCATATTCCTGGACAGTTTGTGTTTTTCTTTCTTAGGAAATAAACTTTAAGGAGCCATTCTCTGATTGACAGATGGGAAAGGGAGAGAAATCTTTTGTCTGGCGGGTAGTCAGTATCTGCCTCCCAAACCACAAGTCCAAGCCTTTCATCAGAGGCCAGTTAGGACAGAGTAGCATTAGTTAGTGGAATAGTAGTTCAGAGTCTTATTAGACAGTGCTCTGCTTTAAGGAGGATGAGTATAGAGTGTAAATCCTTCACAGTTCAGTTCTTGCTGGTCTCCTTTTTCCTGTTTTCTTTGTATCTATCTACTGGTTCAAAAGATCCTATATTAGTGAATTGTATAAGTCAAATCTGTTCTCCCATTCAAAGGACAGTTGGGCCATTTTAGTTTGACAGCATTATACTCCAACTATTGCCATAGTATTATTAAAGACATACTGCCCTACATTAGCAAGTAGAAGTAGCAGATCTTAAGGTACTTTAAGATTTAGTGAGTTCATTAAAGTTCTATCTATTGTTTAAGATTAAGAATAGATAAAAAATTAAAATCTGTGGTGGCTGGAGAGATAGCTCAGTGGTTAAGAGCACTGGCTGCTCTTACAGAGGACCTAGGTTTGGTTCCCAGTACCCACATGGTGGCTAACAACCCTTTGTAACTCCAGTTCTAGAGGATCTGATGCCTTCTTACCTCCACTGGCATTTCATGACAGGGTGGACTTATATAATGCAGGCAAAACACTCATGCACATTAAATAAAAATAAATAAACTGAGCCAGGCATGGTGGCACACATCTTTAATCTTAGCACTTGGGAGGCAGAGGCAAGCATATCTGTGAGATTGAGGCCAGCCTGGTTTACATAGTTAAAGGTCAGTTGGGGCTTCTGGAAGTCCCTGTCTCAAAACCAACTCTTTTCTCCCCTCAAAAAAAAATTAAAATCTGTGGAGTTAAAGTATAAAACCATCACTGATTCCAAAGTATTAAAATCTCCCTTGAGTTCTCACTGAAGCCTTCATGATTATGACTAGCCTATAACCCTGGCCAGAACATTATTATATTATTATTAGTGTTTTTGTTACTCATTTAGGACATGATTCTAAAGCATCCCTCATCCTTTTTTAAAAAATATTTTATTTATTATTTTTATTTTATGTGTATGAGCATATTACCTGCATGTATGTGAGTGCACCGTGTCATGCAATGCTGGTGCAGGTCAGAAGAGGGCATCAGATTCCCCTGGAAGTAGAGTTAAGGACTGTGAGAGCCTCCATGTGGGTGCTAGGAATCCAACCTGAGTCCTCTGCAAGAGCAGTCAGTGCTCTTAACCGCTGAGCCATCTCTCCAGCCCCCACATCCTTCATCTTTTGTGAGAAGAGAGGAGAAGAGCTGCCTCTGGAATGTCTTCAGTGTACTCTACCTAAAATCCAAGACCAAGTCTTCCCCAGAGAACAAGAGCATTAATAGAAGGAGGGCAGTATGATTCCTAAAAGAGCAGAGAGACTGTTACTTAAATCATGATGAACATTACCAAGTTAGCTTGGATGCAGAATATATAGACTGAAGGCCTCAAGTGCTAGTCTGAGAGTAAAATGCCTGCTTACTTTAAAATGTGCCAAAATAGTTTGTGATTTGCTTAAATACTCCTGAAAAAGTTGGAAAAGACATAGATGTTAAAAGAGATAAAGGTTCAGGCTGGGTGTGGTGGCGCACACCTTTAGTACCAGCACTTGGGAGGCAGAGGCAAGCGGATCTTTGTGAGTTCCAAGCCAGCCTGGTCTACATAGTGAGTTCAGGTCAGCTGGGACTACAGGGAGACCCTGTCTCAAAAAGACACACACAACAAAAGATGAAGGTGCTAGTAAGGGTACCTTAAGATTCCCTGGTTTTTCTGTATTTCTTTGTGTGTTTGGAAATTTTCATGAGAGAGAGAGAGAGAGAGAGAGAGAGAGAGAGAGAACTTTGTTCTGTTAATCTTCACCTAATGCCATGAGTAGGCTTGCCACTGAAATTTCTTGTGTTGTAATGAGTCCATCATTTCTGTTTACACAGTTAGTTTTCTATTTCTTTTTTGAGCAAGTGTATCAGACAGACTTCTTGGGAGAAATGGGAGAGTGTAAGAGGAGTTGCTTTTGGAGAACTACTAGTATGTTCCATGCAATGTTTGAGGCCTAGCCTCACTGGGAGAGTAAGTAGATGCATCCAGTGAAGAATATGTTTCAGAGAATAAAATGCTGAAGACTTCACAGGCAGGATAGTAATTGTTTCCACAGTTTGATGTGAAGGTCAATAATAATGGACAGAGAATAGAATGACTTCTTGTTCTGTTCACCATTCTGATTAGTTGAAACCACTCCAGTCTTCTTCAGCAGCTTTAACTGTTGCTGCAGGTATGCTCCTCCTACTTATGCAGTTTATATTAGTATTGATGCGATCTTTTAGCACAGGCACTATGGGCAGGCATCATGCAGTATGACAGATGAGAGATAAAGAAAGGAGTTACATCCAGAGTGCTAGAGATATGGTCTGCCTGAAATCCTGGATCCAGGCTCTGCCAGTGAGCAGGTAGAGCAGAGTTAGTAAGGTGTGAGCAGCAGGAAGGATAAGGAGTTGGAGCTGGGCTTATTAGAGCCATGTTCCTAACAAAGGCAGCAGTGTTACTGTCTTTTCTTAATAGTAACATTGTTAGTTTTTAAATAATAGCTTATGTTCATGAAGCACTTACCATAACCAAGATGATTTTAGAAGTTTGTGTGTATTATCTTACTGAATTCTCAAATAACCCTTGGAGAGAGATACTGATTAATCTTATTATCGATAAATGTAAGATTGTTTTGCAGTTGAAGTTAAGATTGATAATTAGTAACAAGAATTATGTCTACATTTGTGGCATTTTATGTCAGAACATTCTGACCTATTTGAATTCCTTAGGGCTGTCACTGAAGCCTGTAGCATTTTCACTGTTATGTCACCACTCACATAATTTGATAAGTGTTTTTGTGTCTTTCAGAGCTTATACTTTAGGCAGCAGCCATCTGTTAGGACAGATGAAAGGTGGCAAGAGGATTTGCATCTTGGTGGCCTTCAACATCTTCCACACAGACACGTGAGAGATACTTGCAGCTGGCGACAGGTAGAGCAGACCAGAGTGACAAGCAGTGGGATTTAGACACTGTTATATACACCTATTAAGCTGATCAAAAACAACCTTGCTGTGAAGATTATTTTAGAGCTTTTACTGAAATGCAAGATATTCTTAAAAGCACTTTCTCCACACACACAGATATATGAATGAAAGGTGTATTTCTGGTGACCATTGTCATTTTTTATGTAAGAGGAGATGAATTGAGTAGGGAGAGGGCTATGAGGCTATGTACGCAATGACCAGGACTAAATCGCCCTATCTCAAGAAATAAACTAGTAAAGGTTGAGCTGGAGCTTGTTAGGGTTATATTGTCTAATGTTTGGGGGTATTGAGTTAAGATTTTTAGTTTTTCAAGAAAATGTCACAATATTATAGTGTCTTAAGATTTCTCTCCATGACATCTGAAGTCTCTTGTATTCTCACTAAAGTTTTACCACTCCCTTTGTAGCTTCTATTTGTGATTTTATGTTATTTTAGAAACAAAGGCTCTAGGTAACTAACAGTGTTATGGTGCCCGAAAGAAATGTGAAGACATTTTCTCTTGGCTTTTTTAAGAGAGCTAGAATGTTTGGAAGCAAAAAGGCAGAAAGTAGGAATTGAGCCGATTTGGGACTGAGTCAGCTCTTTTGGGATTTTTAGTTTGGGTCTGTCACCTATATAGTCCAAACTGTGCCAGGCTCTTTTTCTAGGTCTGGCCTTTTGTATTTGTTTTTTTACTCAGCCTGGATAGTCTAACCTTTTTCTTTACTGATTTCTTCTCATCTTTTATGATTTGAATGTAAAATGTCCCAACACCTCATTTATTGAAGGCTTGGTCTCCCCACTGGTGGTGTGCTCTTGAGAAGCTATTGGATCATAAAAGCACTGACCTCATAATGGCTAATTGAATCGCTGAGTGGGCTTTTAGAAAGTGGGGTCCTAGTATAGGAAGAGGTCGGTAAGAGTGTGTCTCTAAAGAGTCTTGTTCTTGGCCTCAGTATCTCTCACCCTGACTATTCCTATCCACCATGAAATGTATCACTTGCTCTACTACATGCTCCCTGCTTACCACACATAATCCCAGAAGAACAGAGCAAGTGACTGTAGACCTCTGAAACTATAAGCCAGCATAAAATGTTTTCTTCTTATTTTTTTATTTTTGGTGTTTTTCTCAATACAAAACAATTTGCAATTATTTTCTCACACATGTTCATATGTTTCTTTTTTGTGTGTCTGTGTGTAAGATAGTCTCATGTAGTCCAGGCTAGCCTCCAAACTTGTTATGTAGTCGGAGATGACCTTAAGTTCCTGATCCTGCTAGTCAAACATTTGTTTGTTTTGTTTGTTTGGTCTTTTTGAGACAAGGTCTCCATGTAGCCCCAGCTGGCCTGGAACTCACTATGTAGACCAGGCAGACCTTGAACTCAAAGAGATCCACCTGCCTCTGCCTCCCGAGTGCTAGGATTAAAGGTGTGTACCACCACACCAGCATAGTCAAACATTTCTTAAGCACTTGTTAATGTTAGCCATTATTTAATTACTGTCAGATACAGCTGTGAACAAGACCCAGCATTCAGATTTCAGTCCCAAAAAGAAAAGACCGGTACATGATGAGACAGTCATGGAGCAACATAATTAGTGATGGATAGCAACTTAATTAGTCATAAAGCATGGAAGAGAAGTGCTCCTGACCATTGGATTCAGAGTAAGGTTTTGATGATCTGGACCGTTTCTTTTTGTTCTGTCATAGAGGCCCTGAAAGTCCTCTACCCTAGGACAATCTTCTCTTCTTGTATTCCCAAATATTCCCAATGCCTATTGGATAAAACGTTTTAGTACTGTAGATTAATGCTGCATTCACACTTAGGGTTCTTATTCACAGCTAATTTCTAATATGGTTTAACATTTTTCTTGTTGCAATTCTATACTCTCACACTTTTTTTCAAATTATTATTATTATTTGTGTGTGTGTGTGTGTGTGTGTGTGTGTATGTATGCGTGTGATGTGTATGTGTTGGTGTACATGCCACAGGATGTGTGTGGAGATCAGAGGACAAATTGATGGAGTCTGTTCTACCTTTATGTGGTTCTGGGGAACAAATTCAGTGAACCAACTCTCTTGCCCCATACTCTCAAACTTTCATAAGGAAAATTAAAGCTATCACATATAACTGCCTTTACTACTTAGAGCTTTATTGCCATTATTATTTATTCCTCCTGTCAGAGGAAGTATTTCGTTTTAGATTCATCCTCTGCATTCCCTTACTTTCTCTTGTAGACTCTTGTAGACCCATTAATTATCCTACAGCATGAAGATATTTTCAACTACTTCCCTTGTATAAATATCCCAAGTCTTTGCCATTAAATAGAAGTCTTCCTTAGGACCAGAGATATCAATGGTAGAGCACTTACCAGGCATGGACAAGGCTCTAGCTTCTGAACCTAGCATCACAAAAAGCCCAAACAAAACCAGTTCTTCCCTTGAGTTCTATAGATAGTGGTTTTGAACATACATAATTTTTCATGATGCTTCTATTTTTTATCTAGTTGTGATCTGGCTGCAAATAAAAATCTTGCTTGATCACAACCAGATTTTTAAAAAAGAATAATTAATAATTGCTAGCTCCATTTTTATTATCCACTGATTTTTTTGGTTGTCTGTATTCTAGTTTCTATCTTCACCAATACTCTTAAACATAAAGTACTGTTGACAAGGTCTCCCAAGTTCCTTCTTGCTAATAAACTAAAGGAAACTTTTAACTTCTTAGGTTAATGACCTCTGCAACATCTAAAATAGTTAACTGTTCTTTTTTTCAAAAATATTTTATTTATTATTTTTATTTTATGTGTATGAGTGTTATGCCTGCATGTAGGTAAGTGCACCCGTGTCATGCCCACAGAGGACAGAAGAGGCTGTTGGATCCCCTGGAACCGGAGTTACGGACAGTTGTTAGCTGCCATGTGGGTGCTGGGATTTGAACCCAGGTCTTCTTTAAGAACAGCCATCTCTCCAGCCCCAACTGTTTGTTCTTTCTTAAAACTTTTCCTCATTGCTTTGTGGAACAGCCAGTTTCCAGATTTACTCCTAAAATTCTGGTCACTTTTCCCAAGTCATCTCTGCTTCTGAGCATGTTTCCTGTTGAGATGTTGTATTTTACTTGTTACTGAACAGTCTCTCTCTGAATGATAATTACTTCTGTGATTTCAGCTGCCAGATATGATGATGATATTGAAATCAGTTCTTAAATAGCTTTTTATCTTGAGCACCTGCATTCCAACTCCCTACTGACCATTTCAACTGATTTTCTACAGGAGGTTCAAACTGAACATATCCAGAGCTGAACATAATAGTTGTTCCAAAGTAATTCCTTTACCCATTTAATCACACAAGCCGGAATCGTAGAAATTATATCTCTTTACTTCAGTCTTAGATCCTCTTTTTTAAAAATTATTATTATTGTTGTGTCATGATGTGTGTGTGTGTGTGTGTGTGTGTGTGTATGTGTGTGTTCACATTCCACAGAATATGTGTAGAAGGTCAGAAGGCAACTTTGTAGAGTCAGTTTTCTCCTGCCACTGTTCTGTGGGTTTCAGGGCTCAAAATCAGGTTGCCAGGCTTATGTAGCAAACACCTTAGCTGACTGAGCCATCTTGCCAGCCCTCTTAGATCCTCTTGGTAAGACAGGTTGGGTCAGTTTCATGTTAAATGTTACTCTTCTGTTTTTGCTGCCATGGTTTTAACTCAGACCTCTGTCATTTCTCATCTAGTTTTTAACTGATTCCTGAACTCCTGGTTCAGGTTTCCTATTCCATTCCAGTTTATCTTTCATAATAATACGGCCAGAAAGAACCTGTTATGTTTAGATGCTAATTTCGTCTTTAGTGTCTAAAAATTGATCAGTTAGCAAGAATGTACTTCATTAAAAGTTTTCAGTACAAATTTTAAATATAGAAGTATACATAGCATAAAGATCAGAGTCATCTCTCAATATTCCATTTCTTCAACTCTTCCTTTTCTCTAGACATATCTACTGCCAGTGATTTGAAGCTCATCTGTCTAAACCACTTTCTTTGCATGCATATGTGCATTCACGGGAAGTTTTGATCGCGTTCATAAAAGTGTGTGTATTTTTATATAATGGCATAGTATTGTATTGATTATTTTGCAGTGTTTTAAACTTCATATATTGAGCTATGATATAATAAGTTGATTTTTTTTTTGGTCTTTTTAAGATAGGGTCTCCCTGTAGCCCCAGCTGTCCTGGATTCACTATGGAGACCAGGCTGGCCTCAAACTCACAGAGATCCTCCTTATGAAGTAGCATCATATATTTGTCCTTTTGTGACCGTCTTGCTTCTCTTAGCATAATGCTATAGCATAGGGAAGTGTTTCTTCCTTTTAAAGCCTGAATAATATTCCTTTGTGTCTATCTACTGCATTTTGTTTCTCCATTCACCCACTGATGGACGCTTCGGTTGTTTCCTGAATGATGGTGATGTGAACATGGATGTATAATGGTGACGTATTCACTTTTGCTGCTGCTGAAGGCAGTAACTTGGGAGACAGTGATGGGAGAAGAAAGAGCTTTATAGGCAATAAATTATCAGTTTCACTTAAGAGACTTGGTAATGTAGGAATAAGCTGACCAATTTATTAGTTTTGAGTATATAATACTTATTCTGGTCTCTCCTTTATTTAAATTCCTTTGGGACTAAACCTAGACTTGAAATTCCTGAATCATATGGGAAATGTATTTTTAATTTTTTTCTTAACGGCCTCCTTGTAGCCCCACCTGGACTAGAACTTGCTATGTAGCCCCAAGCTGGCCTTGAACTCACAGCAATCCACCTGCCCTCACTGCCTGAGTGCTGGGATTAAAAGGCATGCACCCTATGCCCAGCAGTTTCTAATTTTTTGAGAAAATGATGACCAGTTTTCTGTAGTGCCTGTGCCATTTTCCATTTTTTTTTAAGCAATGCAGAAGGTTTCCAACATTTGTTATTTTCTG